TGATAAAAAAATGACAAATTTGAAAAAATCCGTGAAGAACACTGTGCAACCCGTGTTCTTCACGGACTCGCCGATTCCGCATAGTGAATCGGCGAGTCACTGTGCGGAATCGTCCGGTTCTCTCTAGAACCGGACGATTCCCGGTTTTTGAACCGATCCGGTACCTTTTTCGTGAATTTCGAGTCGAACCGGGCGAGTCCGGTTCGACTCGGCGATTTTTTAAACGCTGGGTTCAACCATTTCGACGATTTTGTTCCTGTGTAATATCGGATTATATACTATGAGCCTATTTTATTGAGGGTGCGGTTTGTATAGAGCCTAGGCTCTAAACAATCAAATTAGAGCCTACCTTCAAATAATGTCGAAAAATGTGATTTTATAGTGAAAATATTTTTTATAGTCTTAAAATATATTATTATCTTTATTTATAAAGTTTAAAGCTTCAAAAATAGTGTAGATCGAGAGATCTATGAAAACATTGAAAATTGACGGTTCAAAAATACGTTACAGAATATATTATTTCCAAAACTTGAAATCCATTGTTTTCTAATGTCCATGCGTCTTGACTTCGAGATGATCAATTTGAGGATATTGAGCATCAAAGCAACATCTTCTAGTGAAAATTTTAAGGTAGGCTCTAATTTGATTGTTTAGAGCCTTGGCTCTATATAAACTTTTTCCATTTGTTTTTAGTACAAGGAAGTCACAATTGTTAGTATTTTTTATTTGAAAAACACTTATATGTATTTTGAAACAACACTATGGTATATTATTCTTTCATAAATTGCTTTGATTATCGTTTTATTGTTCTTTCCTAAATTGCTTTGATTATGGTTTTATTGTTATTTTCTAAATTACATTGGAGATAGACAAATATGTGGGTATGAGTCCCACATTGAAGAGGATAGAGTTTGTTGAGGTGAATTTAGTAGCATTCATTCTCATATAATATACTCCAAGTACAAAAGAGAGAAACAACACTTGTGTGGAGTATGTGAAACGTGCAACACATGCACATGTGCACAAGGGGGCTTGATGGCTCATTGGCTCATGAGGCACCCTACTCGAGCACATATGCGGTTGGGCTCAGAGCTTGTTATCTTTTTGTGAGTCCGACATCTAGCCGTCGATGAGTGTGGGACATCCAATGGTCATTTAGCACTCGATGAGTGTGGGACCGATCATCTAGTCGTCGATAAGTGTGGTACATCCAATGGTCATCTAGCTATTAATGAGATGGAGGCTTGTAACATCAGCAATCAATTGCATATAACTTATGTAACTAGTAGTAGAGGGATGCAACGGTTATTTAGTCATCGATAAGTGTCGGTCATCTAGCCGTCGATGAGTGTGAGACATCTAACGGTCATCTAGCCATCGATGAATATGGGACCTCCAGCGTTCATCTAGCCGTTGATGAGATGGAGGCTTGTAACATCAGCCATCAAGTACGTATAACTCATATAACTTGTAGCTGTTGGGGTGCATGTAACTCATGTAACTTGTAGTTGTTGGGTGATGCATGTAAGCGCGACAATACTAAATGGGCTACCTCTGGTTGCTCTATAACAAGGGCCTTCCTACCCATACGATTTACACACTTAGAATAATTTTTTAGTTTATCTCAAGAGACTATTATTTGCAATTCCAGCAAGCAAACCAGTGGGCTAACTCTCTCTCTCTACTCGATTTTATCTCTTTCTCTCTCTAAACTATCAAGACTCTAGTGTCTATTGTGTGGGTTTTAAGCTCGGGTGCAGACATCTTAGGAATATTGTTATAAGCCCATTTCACCGAACATAACTCCAACAACAATCACTTTTAAACAATGGAGGTGAAATTCAATAAATAAAAGTATGTCGCTTCATTCCAGAAATTCTATTATGAACATTGTGCCCAAACAATATCACATCCACATCCACTTAATTTCAAATCTAATGGTCAATGATGATTGTGACCTCATTGTTTCAAAAGTAAATGGTCTCATTGTATACATTTCCTTTTAATATTTCTTGCAAGTGAAAGAGTTTTTATGGTATGGTAACTTTTTCCAATAGCCAAAAGATTTCATACTTCTGTGGGAGATGAGTCACCTCTTAAAAATCTATTTTGAGATGGATTTTTTTGACTTAATTTTTAAGGACATGTAATGTCTAAGATGGAGATCATGAATATGAAAAGATAAATAAAATTTGAAAAATAAGACTAATAATTCTATTAACAAAATATTTAGACCATTATTTCAATTGTTTTTAGAGGACCACTTATTTGCACCCATCTTTAAGATGGATGCTTGATATCTTGGGACCGTAGAAATATGCTTCAGCCCCATGAAACAATTTTCTTTATTTAAATCTTAATGTTAAATTTATACATCGCCCTCTTTATGCACTTGACAAAAATAATCGCTCCCAATTTTTGAGGGGTGAGATATAAGTATCAAAAAACAATTTTCAAATTTGATCCTTTGGATATAATCGCCCAATGATTACTCGGTGGTTCCCAAATTTTCATATTGAAGAAACCCTCCCAATATGTATTTTGACCGAGGAGATAGCCATATGGCTCATGATCTTTCGATAACATGGTATAAACACTCATTGCAATATTTTATGTAATTGTAGTATTTTAATAAGGGGGTGGTTTGCATGTAACCCACCTCCAAAATTTATCATAAATATCTTTTTTATGTAAAATTTTTATTAAGATAGCATGAGAATCTATTTTCATATCTAATTCTACGATTTTAAATTTCAAAAGTTGTTCAAATAAAGTAGACTATAAACATATGAAAATCTTAAAACTAGACAGTTCAAATAATGTGTTGTAAGATATTCTACTCTTAGGACTGATTTTCTTTTTTTCTTTTTATATTCATACATCTCCATGTCGAGATGAACAACTAAATGTTTTTCTAACATCAAAGCAACATTTCATAATGGATTTTTGAGGTGCACCTTAATTCTACGTTTCGAGGTTGCAACCCTATATAAACCTTTTTTCTTTTTAATAATATTATCATATTTTATATTTTACACTCATATTTCTCTTTTTTGTGCTCTATCTTTTTACACTCATATTTCTCTATCTTTTTTGTGCTCTATCTTTTTGTAAATTATTTTAAAAACATATTTTCCTCTAATTAGGCCTTTCAGGATCACTAATCCAACCAATCCGAATTGATGCAATGGGTGGGCAATCTAAAACCAAATTCCGGGCTTTAAAAATGCTAATCTAAAAACTCAAACAGTGTTCTAGTTTGGAACTTGAACCACTGGATTCCAAGCTAATTTATCTACGAGGAAGTTGGTTACGAACTTGAAGTTTCGAAGTGATCTTTTGGTACAAAAGACCCACTTGGGAACTCGGAGTTTGAACTTAGAAAAACAAGAAATGATATACATGAAAGACCTTTTTCATAATGAAATTTATCAAAATGGACATAAAATTTGAACTATCTAACATTTTTCCTAGTATAATTTTTGATAAATTTTAAAACTCATTTTTATGTATAATTTGATGGGCTATTTGGACTTGGATCAAAAGATTGATGAGCAATTTGGAATTTGATTGAAAAACATGGACAACATGTTAAGTAGTTCAAATCTCATACTGTATAGTTCAATAAATTTTCCCTTCTTAAATATCCTTGACTGCAAGGGATAATAGCAAAATATCCCTTTTTTATTTGCTAGAATCTTAGTGAGATGCCTATGGAGCAAGCGATTTAAGTAGGGTGAGGTTTTGTATATGGTGCCCCCTTTAAATCTTAGTGAGATGCCTATGGAGCAAGCGATTTAAGTAGGGTGAGGTTTGTATATGGTGCCCCCTTATTATTTAAAAGTAAGGTGCACCTCTAAATGTTGTCTGGAGATGTAATTCCAGGATCGAAAACCTTACGATGGTTTGAGAATCTATTCTTATCCCTAGTTATAAAATTTAAAATTTCAAAAATTGTACAGATCAAGCATATCTACTAACACTAGAAAACTTCGAAATTAAACAAGCCAAATAAATTTTTACAAGATATATTATTTTTAAGAGTTGAATTTTTTTTTTTTATATATCCATACATCTTGAAGTCAATATAACAAATTTGAAGATTTTTCAACATCCGAGAACTCTCTTCTAGAGGAATTTTTAGGTGCATTTTGCTTCTACAGTAGAATGACACCTTCTATAAACTTTTTCTATTTAAATAACATTGTTCTTTTAACAATAGTGACTTGAACCAACATTGTCAGATTACCAAAACTACAATGTCATTCCTGGCATGCATCCATCTTGCACCCCCTGGAAGTAATATCATCTATTTGAAACGTATCATGCCAAATTTCCCCATTTCTCTTATTGGTTTTTATTTTTAAGAAAATTTATCAAAATACACCTTACTTTTTCAACTTTCTAAGATGTCATCCTTTGTGCTATTCCAACTCAACATCACATGTATTTCCATGGGCATTTTGACTTTATATCAAAACAGGGAAAATATTAAGTGTGGATTGTATAACGTGTCAACCTTAAACAATAATAGTAAGGATACGTCCAAACCGTGCCAAAGGTGTATCCTTGGTGCCGGAAATTCCTACAATAGCCTGAAAATGTACTTCCACTAATAATTATAAAATCTAAGTTCAAAAATAAAATTGATTAAACAGTTTTACAAACACTTGAAAACTAAAAAATAGATTATCCAAATAATGTGTTACAAAACCAATAGGTGATCAATTCAACCCACCAGTCTGATTTCCAAATCATTGCACCAAAAGTTGTACCTGCATTTATATTTCAAACATTTAACTAACATCTAACCGATCGTCCAAGGCCCACAACGTGAAATGCTGAGAAGTGTCATTCCTCCGCTCAAAATCCATTAAATTTAAGCAGCCATGAGCCATTCAAACCTGAATGCTAGCATACTCCCTATTGGGACTGACCAAATTTTTGAAACAACCGTTTTGTCATCCACTCAATTAGAAGTGAAAAACCCCGTTTGGTCCATTTGATTATTGATTTTTCTGAAAGCTACAGTTTGCAGACAGTAGCAACCATATTTGTAAAAGGTTGTTATGTTCTACACTGCCTGTTTTAGTTCGACTGTGTAAATTTCATACATCTTTTTACAAAATAGAATACTTTATAAGATAGTATCAAATCTACGTCTAAATAAAATACATTAGTGCAACCTTACTTCTACGAGGTTGCAATCTTGCATAAACTTTTTTCGTGAACCCCCACTTAACAACAAAACACCACCAAAGGATATATGAGGGATTAAAAATAATGTTATTTTCCTGCATTTCATTGGCCTTGTTCAGAAGTCCAAACAGGGCCCATAGAGTAAACCCTTCTACTTAATTGAAGAGTAATTGCTTTCAAGAAACCGAAAAAGCATCTACTGATCAAGGAGGAAGGAAAGTATACCATACACCAATAGAGTATGATTTATGGTACAACAGATCATCCAACTCCATTTCCCTAAATGGACAGTGGTTTAACTGTAGTATGATGAACATTCACATGTACTGTTGGTCTCTCACATCCATTTAAGGCATTAACACCTGTGTTCTCATATATCACAAATGCTGTACGTAAAATACAACAAAAATAAGAATCCATCAAGCAATTCAACATATCTCTGGATAAAGGATCAGCCATCTGTTGGGGCAATGCTTGCCGTCAGCATCAGCTATTTGATAAAGCTTAAGATCTGAATGGTCCAGGTCTTACACAAAACAAAACCTGATCTGGACCGTCCATTGGGATGGTATGGGTGTAGTGTTTAGACTAGGAGAAACCATCCCTTTCACTGTTCAGGATATGAAAACTATACATGAAATATACAAAATGTGCAGTTTCAATACCAAAAACCTTCTTAATGCAACCTCAATCATGAGCCATCTTTGGTCAGCTTCGGTGCTGTAAGTCTGATATCAAAAGTTCATAAGTATCAGGTGGCATACAAAAGAATTGCAAACTCGTACCAAATGAGTACCTGCACATGTGCAATGGGAGGGAGGGAGGGAGGGAGGGAGGGAGGGAGAGGGGAGACCACAACTATACACAAAAGGCATCAAAAAAATATGAACTATGTTTTCTAGCTGAACCTTTGACAGCCAGAGATTATTTATGTATCCAACAGAAAACAGAGTCCAAGACCAGTGTTTTAAAATGCAGAATGCGGCCAAAAGCGTTGGGGGGGCCGATGCGGCTCAATGTGGTCCGGATGCGGGTGCATCATCACGATGCGGTCAATAAATATAAAAAAAAAATTCTAAAAAATCTAAAAATATAAGTTAATGCATAGAAAAAACAAGGAGGTGATATATAAGATAATAAGTATTTAGTTTATTCATTAACTCCAAAAGCATCCGCTGTCGGAGATTTTTATCCATTATCCCCTAATAGAAACTAGAAACTAGCTTCATAAAACATTCAACACTCAATTACCATAAGCACAAATCTGCAACCACAAACTTTAAAATTACAAAATACTACAAACTAAAAGTCCATGAAGATTAAAGAGTTAAAAGTCAAACTCAAGAAGAGTCAATACAATCATCATCATTTTTCAAATCTTGAAGAACTTCAACAAATAAAATTGAAGAACCAAGCATTAAATCAACACCCAAAATATACAATCAATAACCAAGCATCAACAAATGCACAAATCGACGAACTTCAACAAATAAAATTTCTGCCCAAAATAATTTTTTTGATTCAATCGATCCAATCAGTGTTGATATATTCGCTTTGCTTCGCCTCGGACGAAGCACCCGAAGTCTTCGGATTTCCTCCAACCACCGAAGCAAAGCGAATAGCAGCATTAATTTCAATGTTTCATACGATATTTCGCCACATTCAAAATGAAATTGCGGGGTCTATCTACTCGAATCCAACTACATGAGGCGCATGTTACAACGTACACCAAGTACCACCTTGCCCCACGTGGCCCCATCCCTCTCAATTTGTCATTCCAAATAGCACTTTGCCCCATCTCTCGAATTTATAAAATTCCACTACTGTCCTCTTTTACTTTTATTAAAAGAAAATAAATTTTTAACAAGCCACCTCTTCGTCATGTACATTCTCAAAGCATAAAATAAATTGAATGTATTTATTATCGTTATTTTTTTAGTTTTTAGCTTTTTATTTTTTTTATTTTTATTTTGCTTATTATTTTAATGTGCTTGTATATATAAAGGTATATTTTGTTTATATTTATATTAAATTTAAAAAAATCCGAAGTCTTCCTTTGAATTGGCCGAAGCACCGAATTGCTTCATTTTTCTGACCAAACCGAAGAAAGCTCCAAAGCGAAGCTGAGAACATTGGATCCAATAAAAGACACAGATGTGGCTTAAAAATCATTTTCCCCCCATTTTTGAAGGTCAAAATGACCTTATTACCGCTGCCTAAGGAGTTCAGTTTTTAAAAAAATGGCAAATAGATTATGATGCGCTCAATGCGGAAAGATGTGGTGCATATGCGGCGCATCTCTCCAAACCACATATGTGGGCATGTGCAATGCGCTGGGCAGCGCGTAGCGCCTGATGCGGCCGCATTTTAAAACACCGTCCAAGACCTTAAAAAACATCATCTAACAACTAGGTTTTTGCAATCTCATAAAATCACAGTATAACGTGGACATGGTGTGCAAGTCTCCCAAAGTGAAAATGAAGAAAGCAATAAACCTAGCTGGAAAACAGATGAAGCCTGCTAAATGTACATATACACCATATTTCCAAGTGAGGCCAGTCAGACAAGCACCACCACATAGCAGAGAACTTTTAAACCATAACAAATGGGAAGATTTATTTTACCAGGGATCTTGAAGGGAGCCCTGCTGGGAACTTTCTATCTCTGCAAGGTCAAACAACATTTTACTGATTGATCCACGACTCACATGTTTCTTTGCCTGTTAACAATTTTAAAAATATGATTAAAGACACAAGAAGATTCACATAAGAAAGTGGTGAGTTCAGTTTTGTTGCAAAAGATTGACATGGACAAAAATAAATACGTTGAATATAATCAGGGAATGGTTGTTTAACTTAATATTTGGCAAATAAAAAAGTTTAATGACTGATCCTTGGCTCAGGACTTACTCTGGTTCTGAGCTATACTGGCAAAATGAGTACTTCAAATATTTCCAGAAAAACATCTAAACCATACACCAGTAACTTTTCTGATTTCAAAGATAAGATTTTACATTTCACAAATCACATTGCATCCCCTCCACTAAAGAGTACAGAAAACCAGTACAGCTTGCCTAATGTTCCCCAGTGCTATTGTTACTTGCCTCCTTAAACTATCACAAATTTTGTAACTTCACTATCAACTGCATTCTAGTTTGAACTTCGTAAATGTTATGCTCTCGGAAAACACAAGGGCCATATGGAATAATACACTTCTTTTAAAAACAAAGCACTTGGTTTTCTCATCCAGCTAAAATGTAATTGCCCAAACTTTTAAATTATTTCTGCAGTAATTTGGGCCAAATCAATTGCTATCTCCTATAAATGATTTCATATTTCCTATGAGAAAAAGTAAAAACCATGCAAGTCCACCACCGAATTGTCCTTTCCAAGCTTGCAGCCTCTCTCTAAACCCAACCCAAGACCTCAGCCAAAAACTCTGCTAAATTTGCCCACAAAAGCACCATGCCTACTTCACTAGAAGAACATTCCTGTTCCTGATCGATTTTGCATGTTCCCATAAAATACCCCCAAATTTGGGAGATGTATAAGAAAGCAAGGACTTTTTTTAGGACAACTGAAGAGTTCGATCTATCTTGAGACCTTCAACAATGGGATTCATGAAAGAGGTTCAAATTGCAGGGCCCAGGGTTTTTTGTGGTTTCTAAATCGCCATTAAGAAAGAGACCCTGAGATAGGAGCGCATTGGCTGCAGAGAGCTCTGGGTTAGAGAGCGACTGAGATAGAAGGATCTGAATTGGAGAGAGTGAAAGAGCTCTGGGACAGAGAGAGAGTTGGGTTAGAGAGAGAAAGTTCTTAGAGAGATAAGAGAGTTTGAGACTGAACAGAGAGAGAGCCACCACCAAACTGTGCGCATTTTGTGGATGAAAAAAAGGAGAGGGTTAGAACTCTTTTTTTTCAATCCATGGTTTGGCCCTCTAACGACATGATTGTCATGTGACATTGGGCATTCACACATGCCATAGATTGTTAAATCGCCTTTTTATTTTGACCATGGTTTGACCCTCTAAAAATGGTCTGAAGTGGCAACCCAAACATGCCCTAATGCATAGGTCAATAGAGAATAATCAATAAATGTATAGGTAAAGATACAGAGAAATATAAGAGAGACATGAATATTCATCCCAATTTGCTAAACTTGGACCCACCATCCTTTTTTAAATGTGATTTTGAAACCATTATATTTAGAACGTTCTTTTTTTATTGAAATATAAGATACATGGATTTGCATTAATATTTCTTTTTTCTTTGATTGACATGCATATAAGACTTTCTTTTTTCTTTTTCTTTTTCTTTTTTTTTGGGGGGGGCTAGATATGGTTTAAACAATCTCTTTTCCCCGTTGGAAAATTATTGCTATTGTGATAATATCATTGAAAACTTTTATTGGGATATTATCAGCTTGGTCTTTTTGTCGGGTATTTATTGAAATTTCACTGAAAATTCAATATATTGAAATAGCATACTATTATTTCTTATGGAAGTATACCTTGCAACCAACCCCAAATAGTTGGGAAAAGGCTTTTGATGATGATGATGGAAGTATACCTTCCTTATAAAAAAAATTTATATAAGACTTTCACACGTTTTCTTAGGTATGATTACTTTTCAAATTTCAAAATTCTGAGGTATCCTTAAGCTTCTTCCAAAAATTTAGCCTTCAAAAAATGATAACATATAGGATTTCGAAATGGAAATAATTTATATAAGGGTGAGGCCCTAAACAATCAAATTACGGTGCACATCACATGTTCAGTAGAAGAGAATGTTTTGATGCCCAAAAATCCTCAAATCAATTATCTCGACCTTAAGATGTATAGATGTGAGAAAAATGGATTTCAAGTCTGGAAAATAGTATATCTTGTAGTACTTTTTCCGGACCGTCAATTTTCAAGATTTTCAAATTTTCATAGATATGCTCGATCTGCACTAGTTTTTAAGCTTTAAATTTCTTAATTAGAGATGAAAATAAATTTTCAAGCCATCATAAAGATTTCTAGTATTGAAACATCTTTCGACATTATTTGCAAGTGCACCTTACTTCGATTGTTTAGGGCCTAAGCCCTATACAAACCACACCCTTCTGAAATACCTTTTAGCCATATGATATACAACTAAGTAAATTGGCTATTTTTTAGTTCAGTTTGTTCAAAACTTAATTTTTGAAATGCTATCTATTGTTATTGTATACCATTTTTTATCAAGATGAAATTGGAGTTATTATTGACCATTGATTTTCCCATGATAAATCCAGCTATTATCGGTGATAGTTGTCATTAAGCTTTTCCCTTTGGAAAACTATATAGGACATGATTTTGGAAATTGTTATTGTATACCATTTTTTATCAAGATAAAATTGAAGTTATTATTGACCATTGATTTTCTCATGATAAATCCGGCTATTATCGGTGATAGTTGTCATTAACCTTTTCCCTTTGGAAAACTATATAGGACATGATTTTGGAACTTTATTATTACTTTGCTTTTTTTAATTGACATGCATTTAAGACGTTTTTACCTAAAGATATATCTAACATTGCTGCGATTCTATTGACCGATCCCTAAGGGATTGGAATCATGTTCCCCCAATATGGGGCGGGATCCACCTACAATCCCACTCTGAGAATGTGTGATTGCTGCTTGGTAGGATCACCACCAAGTTGGGCCCAGTAACTAAGCTGCAAATGTATCAAGAAGGCAACAAGCCATTAAAATAGACATAAAGGGGTGCCTCAACCATGGTTCAATCTAGAAAAGCAGTATTTTACCAATCAGACTATAAAAAAGAAAGTTTGAAATGCACTAGATTCACCTTAAAGGATGGCACGAAAGAGTACACTTCTTCAACTGTTTCTGGGTGAGCATTAGCAATCAAACATGACTGCAGTAAACAGTATGAGTTAGAAAATATTGTATTTAAAAGAAGTAACTTAAGCTCCAACTTGACTCCAAACACACATGATTTTCATACCTCAACATCTGAGAGCTGGTATCTTCCAAGAAGTCTAACTTGAAGTTAAGATTCCAATTACAAACTTAGAATAGAATACAGCGCCAGATGTATCATGAACAATGAAGAGTACGAATAATCCAGAAACGCAGTCGTGAGAAGGTCAGTAACCAGCAAATAAAGCACTCTTGATTCAAATTACTGGATTTGGCAATAACAAATCATTTCAAAAAAAAAAAGAGTTTTAACATTCACATCAATTGATATCTAACTTGGATGATAGAAGTAAGAAAATATATGGTTGACTGCAAGCCATATAAAATGCCAAGCGAAGCCATGCAAGTATACTAAACTAATATACAACTAACAGTAACTTTATCAGAAGTAAGGATACTCTCGGACTTGTTTCACAGACTCAGGTTTCTTATAATAGGTGCAGCTCTTTGCATACTTCAAACCTAGGTTGAAAGATCTGAAACAAACAAGCTTCTTACAAACATTCAGCATCAAACATGCACAAGCGCTTGCTTGAAATTATAAAGGGAATTTTCTATTATAACAAACTGAAAAAAGCACACTAATTGTAAGTTGTCTTACTGAGGAATTTTGATTGCTGGATCATTAGATAATGTCCGCAGCTGCTCTTCAATTCTCTCTAACATAATGGCTGCCTCACAGTCCATCAGACATCTTGAGTCACTTGGAAGTTCTGCAATAAACATACATAGAAACCACAATAAGTTACAATTTCAAAAAGAGAGAATCTTATTTATTCCTGAAGGAGAGTCTAATAAGAGAGAATCAAAAGTCTTCCATGAAGCTTTGGGAATTTCAATGTGCAGTAAAAAGTCCATAGCAGGGTTGACTTGAGGCTTAGAGTATATGGGGTTACATGGTTGAAAAAATAAGGTTTGCAGTCATTGGAGCCACCATGTCAGGCATCGTATCCACTGAAACTCTTCTCTATTTATATAGGAAATTTACACTAATATCCTCTATAATCTGAGGAATTAAAAGTGTCCCCATTTTTTTCATATTTTACACCCATGTCCCTTTGTAACGATCCTAGGTGGGTTAAGGACCTAACTTTCTGCATTTCCATCAGCCAAGGGTTTTGGGGCGTATTGGTTAGGTACCAAACATTTGGTATCAGAGCAACCACTGCGACCTAGGTTCAAATCCTAGGAAAGGGCTACTCAAATAAAATCAGAGTGAGAGCCGCCATAGAGTGAGAGCCACCATAGAGTGAGAGCCGCCGAGGACGTCGATCCTAGGAAATGGCTACCTGTGGAAAGGGCTACCTATGGAAAGGGCTACTTGAATAGAGTGAGAGCCGCCATAGAGTGAGAGCCACCATATAGTGAGAGCCGCCGAGGACGTCGACTGCAGAGCGTGGTGGTATGTAACGATCCTAGGTGGGCTAAGGGCCTAACTTTTCATATTTCCATCACCCAAGGGTTTTGGGGCGTATTGGTTAGGTTCCTAACACCCTTTTTTGTTTTTTTTTACTTTATTTTCCCAAAATACCCATAGTTCAGAAATTGAGGTCTTCTTTTTTTATGTTTGAGAGCTGGTTTGGAACTTGAAGTTCTATACTAATGTTTGCATAACTAGGATGGTTCAGAACCTGAAGTTCCAAAGTTCCCAACAAAATGTTCGGCACCCTTGGTATGTTCCTGCATAACAAAATGTATAGAGTGCTCTTGTGGGGGCACATTATACACTCAATCCCTCAAATAAAATATATTTCTTATCAAAAATTTAAAGTTTTCTTATAAAAAATATTAAGGAGAACTTGGTCATGTAGATCTTCTATTCCGCCGGAATTCGTTGATTCCGTACGAATTTACAATGGAAAAAGTAATGTTCATTGTAAGATCACTAAAGGAAAGGTTTGTCATAAAAATATGGAGAGTTTGCTTCTACACAGAAATGAAGACCTTTGAGAACAATTATTGGACCGGAAAGATGATTGGGTGATTCTAAAGTGAGCCCCAAAATTTTTAAATTAAAAAAGTATAGTTTACCCAATCAAATATTATACAGTGTGCTACTACAAAAGCACCTGTAAAAAAACAAAGTTTTTAGGTGAAAAATGGTGGCTGCATTTAACGAGATGACATCATCTAACTAGCAACACCTTATATTTTTTTTGTTGCAGGTGCTCCTAAAACAACACACCACACTTGCTCCCTCAAGTAAAATATATATTTTTAACTAAAACTTTAGGATCCACTTTAGAATCACTGAATGATTATTTTCAAATAACAAATTTTAAATTCTTCATTTAAAAATGTATTTTATCCAAAGGGCTAAGCATAAAATGTGCTCCTGCTGGAGCAGAGTGTATTACTCTATTGTGGAGCTGCAAAAAGGGCAGTTTGGAACTTGGTACTCCTTCATTCATAATTTATTTTAACCTGAAGGACGAACTGACCTGATCACGAAAAAATCAGTTCCGCATTCAAGCCCCAAACTGATCTCTCAGCCACAAGAAAAACTTGAAAAAGGAAAAAAAAAAAAGAAAAAAAAATAACTTAAAGTTCTTAATCAAGGGAATTTGCCAATTATAAGAGATATTAGTGTAAATTTCCCGTAACTATACACATCCAAACTTCCCGAATTAAAGCATATTCATTATGGCAAATTGCATCTACTAGGCATCCATATCGTTTCATTTCTTAGTTTCCAAATAACTTTTGCTCCTGTAACTTCATTTTCAAGCAACTCGCCTCCTAAGAGACCCTTTGCCACATCCAATTCTCATGGAAACCCATATTGATCTCATTTACCACACTTTATTCTCTATAATCAATGACATCATTTCGCGTGAAGGAAATAAGAAATCAAAGACGAATTTCACAAGCAAACGTTTGGAGATCATGACGCCATGGTATTAATCAACAGAGACGAGAAAAGAAAATGATAAAGAGAAGTTGATGACAATTAAAAGAGACAAAAACCTTGCTCAATGTTTAGTTCCACAACTGGTGCACTTTTCTTTCCTTCTCGTGACGAACCGCCCTTACCCGCTTTTCCTGCCTTGTCCCAATTTTCTTTCCCTACATTTGCATCTACAAACAGCCATCAAAACATAACAAAACAAGAATTCCCACAACTAGAATTTCAAATTGGTAAAGAACGTAAAAAGTCACCAAAAATGGAAATGAAAATTCATTAGAAAACCAAGAGCCAAGGATACGAACCTTTTGCTGTGGTTGCCTTCCCTTTTGCTGATGCTGAGATAAAAAGAAGAAAAGAAAAGAAAAATTCAAATAAAATATTATAAGTAGTTCAGATAGTGCTTCCTATACAGAATCAAAATATTGTGACATTACAGAGCAATGTAATATCAACCAGTTTAATGCACAACGAATTAGATATCATTTTTGTTAGAATGAAATCAAAGATAAGTTTTTACCAGCTTGTGATCATGAAAAAATAAGAAAACAATTAAACTAATTACTTGTGTCAATAATAGATGTGTCAATAATTCCTACTGAATATGGGCAAATAAAGATAAAAAAAATCCGCTGTCTTGAGAGAATTTGGTCTAAACAATCTGAAATTTGAACAGAAATCCCAGAAAAGTTCACCCAAAAACCTCCTGAAGCATTGGTTTTTCCCAAACCGAATACAAACACTGAACCTGAAATTTCAAAGCGTAATCAAGTTGCAGTTTTTCAGAGCCAGGGCTAGGTGGACATTGGACTGTAATGAGAGTCTTTGAAAAAACAAACATGATGGGCATCCATTAATGCCGTATTTTCCCCTAAAATGAAGCATGCATTTTCATTATTGCATGCAAAAAAACCACCACTAGCCTGCAGCTGATTCGCCACATTTCCAAAAAATAAAAGCATTTTCCAGATTCGAATATCCAAGAAAATCCCATCCCCTCCCCCCCCAAAAAAAAGAGTCTCCTTTTGAATCCTAGCCATTGATGCAACGATTTCCCGAAAATAGAACACGTATTAATTGTGGATGGGAGAAAATGAGACCAACCTGCAACTGGTTTGAACTTCGAAGAAGCTTTTCCCCCATTTGAAATAGGAGTAGAAGACTTTCCCGTTTTATCCGCCATTGATGCACAAGAGAAGGTCTCGACTTAGGGTTTTGCTGAGCCTTTCAAGTTAGAGGAACCGAGCCGTGTGCTAAACTGCTAATTAAGAAAGGGTGTAATTTGTACAAGGCTAAGGCCCTAAACAATCAAAGTAGGGCGCGAGCGCACCTTTGAAATAGTAGAAAAACATTTTCAGCACCGAAGTCTTTACGATGAAATGAAAATTTATTTTGGGTGCGGTTTGTATAGAGCCTAAGCTCTAAACATTAATTAGGGCATACCTTCAAATAGTATGGAGAAAGCTTCAAAATGAGTGTAGATCAAACATATTTATAAAAACTTTGAAAATCTTGAAAATTGTTCGTCTAAAAATAGGTTACAAGATGCACTATTTTTAAAATTTGAAATTTATTTTTTTCTCATGTCCATACATCTTGATGTTGAAATAATCAATTTGATGATATTTGGACTCAAAACAACCTTTGCAGTGAAAGTTTTGATGTAGGCTTTAATTTAATTGTTTAGAGCCTAGGCTCTTCATAAACTTTTTCTTTTATTTTTATATCTAATTATAAAATATTTAGCTTCAAAGTAATATATATCAAGCATATTTATGAATACTTGAAAATCTTGAAAACTGACCGTCTAGATAATACATTACAAAATGAACTATTTTCAAAATTTTGGAGCCCTTTTTTTTAGAGAAAATATTTGATGAGATCATTTACATTTGGTGTAAAGTGGTCACAATTAAGATGTGAAATTGGGTATCCGCATTTATTTCATTGACTAAATTCAAAGTTCAAATGAATTTTTTTTTGAACTTTGTAATACACCTAAGCTATCGGATTTCACATCGAATGATTATAAGTAATTGTGACTTCCATGTACCAATGGTAAAACGTCTCAGTGTGTGCAACTTTTTTTTTTGTACAAGCTTTCTATGCTTCCCTTACAACATAGAAGTTTTATCCTCCCCCTTATCGAATCACAACGTCATGTTTCTACATTATTTTATCTTTAATTTTTTTTCTATAAACTATTTTGACACCAAATTTTGGACATCCATTTCTCTATTAAACTCACACTAGCGAAAAATATAAAAAAAATTATTTATAATAAAATAAAATGACCAAAATACCCCTAAAAGTTTCAAAGGGTATTTTGATCATCATAGTTTATCAAAAAATTATTTTTAATATTTTTTATAGGTGCACCCAATGAGAAGATGGCACGTACCAAAATTCATATTCATACAATTTGTATAAAAAAAACTAAAAATAAAATATTTTGAGACGTCGGATCTAAGATCAAACGGTGAGTGACTCTCTTGATCAAAATTGGACGGCCAAATGGTAGGAAGAGTATAGAAATTCTATGTTGGAGGGGAAGCATAGAAATCTTTATCTTTTTCTTTTTTTTTTATGTCCATGTATCTCAAGGTCAAGATGATCAAATTTGAGGGTTTTCAGGTTTTCAGCATTGAAACAATTTTTTCTATTGATTTTTTGAGGTGTGCCTTAATATGATCGTGTAGGGGCTTCAACCGTACATAATCTTTTTTCATTAAAAAAAGCTTTAAACCGCTAATTAAGAACTAGCATGAACACCCATTTTTTGAACGGTCTACCATTTTACTTTGATTGTAATTCGATAAATTTCAAAATCAATTGTAATATCTGTTTGAGCTATATGATATTTGATCAAAAGATAATGTGCTATTTAAAATTAGATAAAAAATATCGATAAAATGTTCAATAATTCAATTCTTAGGCATAGTTCTATAAATTTTCCAAACAGTTAATATATATGATTCAATTCCAAATCTTACCTCCAGTGAAAGAAATGGATCGTCTTGTCTTCTTAATTCCGGAGAATTTTAGATGCAACAAAATTTGCTTGGAGCAATGAAACAGTTAAATTGTTTTGATTTTTGGGGAAATTGAAAAAAGCATCACTGTAGCCGAACTCCCTTCTTTTTTTAATAGGATGTTTGATTGCCTGAATTTGATCACTCCGTAAAACCATTGCTTTAAAAGCATTGCTTTAAAAGCTGGAATCGGAGTACCAATCCGGCACTTGCTGATTCGAGTTGCTGACTGAATCCAAGCTACTCAGCTTTAATTGTGGGAAAATAAAGAAATTATGAAAAAATAAAAGAAGGAAGAAATCACTTGGTGCTCAACAATCACCTTAACAAGTACAGTGAAGAACCGAGTGAAAAACCCAGTTCTGGATAATCTATGGAATTTCTCATAGTTTACAACCACCCAGAACAGATGACCACCCAATATTACATCCGACTCGGATGATTCTAAGTCAACTCACTGATATTTCAAACAACTTCTCATAGCACCTTATGGGGTTGATACACCAGTGGTTAGGGGGACCGATGCCTTAACATAATAACATGTCCCAACAAAAAGAAGAGGCCAGCCTTCTGAAAGCACCTTGCATTTTTATAAACTTTTCCACTAACTACGGTTCCCCAACTTGGATCTTAATCATTCAATTTCCTCACCAAAGCTACTCCCTCAGCCTCTCTCTCTCTCTCTCTCTTGAAGAAAATGCATAAACTACTGGTTTATTATAACATATCGCTTCGATTTACATAACTATATACATAAATATTAGGACCGGGGTTTCAGAAATCAGATTCAAGATCGGCGTCTGATTTTAGTCCCTCCCGCTCGGACTCAAGAGTCTGAGTCGGACCAGGCTATTCTAACCAAAAAAATAAAGAAGTACTGAAAAAGTGGGAGAATTGGCGATTCCAGGGTTTTTAGGCCCAGAATCAACAGCCTCCCCCGGCACCCGGACTCGAGCGCGAGTTACGATCGGACAGGCAGTTTTTGAAAAACTGCTTGGCACATGTTATGCACACAAGCAACCACCCATTTGCATACCAATGAAAATATTCTTCAACATTCAATGATCAGGTTACAGCAAGTAAATAAAGCTATTTATGAGAAATTACAGATTGCGGAAAATAAAGCACCTCTCTCTCTCTCTCTCTCTCTCAAAATCACAGTATCTTCAAGAGCTGGACCTCAAACACCAGTGGTTCATTTGCATGTGACAAAAGGCTTCTTCGAGGTCCAAACTGCAAGCAACAAATAATGCAATGATGCTAATGAAAAAGAGAAGAAACAAATCAATGGAGATGATATTAATACAAGGCATCTTGATTTTTTTTTCCTTTTTGTTAAAGACGAGCTTATTATGATTCAATATCTGATATAGAAAAGAATGACAGAAAAACAATACCTCTTCAGGAATGGGTTGCAAGTTTTCATTTGTATATCCAACACCAGGTGGCACCAATGCCCTCCTCTTTCCTGCATTTAGAGAACAAAATTGAAAGCCCATATCACCATTAAGATAACATAGAAGTCTTCCAAATCCATTTTCAATAACATAACTTTGTATAATAGTTTCCATCAGATCAATCTTTCTCTCTCTCTCTCCTCTC